GCCCTAGCCGGTTGAGCTATAGGTGCCAAGCCCAGTTGCTCTCATTTTAAAGTGAAGGAGCAGCTGTGTGAGGTTAGGTGTCTGATGCATGGATATATGGTAGCAGATCTGGGTTTAGAACTAGGCTTGCTCAATCCAGTTTGCATTATAGGCATTGCAAATAGACCCTTTTTTCAAGATGGCCAGGCTACTTCCTGGTCATCGCCTGATGGTCTGACTCCCTTCAGCCCAGCAAATGCTTTCATCCCTATTCAACCCTTCTCTCTTCTGCCAAATACTCCAGAGCAGGCATCCTCAAACTACGGCCTGTAAGCCACATGTAGCCTGCCTACCGGCCTGCCGGGTGTTTTTGCCGCCACTGCCTGTTCTGCTTAGCAGCCGACTCATCCCGGGGCCCACAGTCTGGCCCTCCAGTGGTCTGAGGGACAGTGAACTGGCCCCATGTTTAAAAAGTTTGAGGACCCCTAACTACCACTGCCACGAAATACAGCACACACATGCATCCCACCTAGGCTCACCCTGCTCACACATTACACTTCTTCCAATCCCAACTCTAGAAAACCCCTTTGATTCTCCCCACCTGATAGTACATTCTTTGCTTTATCCCTGCCCATGAACACTGGAGTCCAGAACACTGAGGACCAGGGAGTGTCATGGTTCCTGCTAACATCTCCAGCCCCTATCTGCCTAGGGATCCATCCTGTTTCTTCTTTCATGTTAGGAGCTCCTCATAGTTTTTCTCTATAGATTTTGTCATTTCTGGATTTTTCCAGCATAAAACTCTGCAACAAGGAGCAGTGGATTATTGTACCCCACCTTCCTCTGACTCATCTTTGGTTTTTCTCCTTCACCACCACTCTACTAAAGAGAGAACAATATCAGGCAGATACCTGGAGCTCTTTGTCCAACTGAGCTCGAAGCTCTTCTGTCCCTGAGGGCAGCACTAGCCTGGAGGGCAGAGAGGTGGATCGTCTCAACAGCATGGGGTTGGTGCCATTGAGGAACTGGTAGCCAAAAAGCTCATCATCCTGCCAGTGCTGGTGAATCTTTTCTGTGGGGTTGGGATTGAAGGAGGATGTTTACCACAGCCTGGGTATCCCTGTCCTCCAGCCTCGACCCAGGGATTCAGGCAAATGACCCATGCTGTACCCAACCCCTGAATTTGCATTCTTCAGGCCTCTCTGAGATGACCAGACATGAGAAGGTCTGTTCTTGCAAGAAGTTATGCCGGCCTGTGGAGTGTGATGGACAGAGCATCAAAAGGGGCCATTAAGGGGTTATAGAGACCTGGGGGAACACTGACCAGCCAGGGTACTCTTTTGGCCCCAGAAGATCTGATCAAAGTCTTCTAGGCGGTTCCAGGAGCTCAGGAGGGTGTAAACACGTTTGAGGACCATCTCCAGAGCCCTAGGACAGTTATTGATGCTTGAACCCATAAGCTGATCCCTCAGCCCCTCACGATATACCACCATTCTTGGATTTCCCAGCCCTTATTCCACTCTGAGCTCCAACTGACAGCTTTTTCTTACCCTGCCTTCAGTGTCCATTCAAAGTCCCATCTCTTCTCCTCATGGAATCTCATATTTGGAGGTAGGTCAGCTTTACAATCTGCAGCTATGGTCAGGGGTAATCCTTCCTTCCAGGTTGCCCAGCTAGAATTTGAGGACAAACCTTTAGGGAGGATGTTTGGGTCAGTGATGGGGCCAGGGTTAGGAAGGGGTGGGACAAATGGGAGGCCTAAGGATGGGTGGTCACCGGTAGATCTGCTTTCTGTCCTTCAGTTCCTTCTCTCGATGCTTCTGGAACACGTCCAAGGCATTGTCTCCTGCCAGGCGGGCTATGGAGACATTGAGACATTTGGCCACATGGTTGTGTCTGGTCCTGTGCTCACTCTGCTTGTCTTGTCCCTTTCTGTGGTCTTGTTCCTTGTTCTCAGTCCTGGGCTGCTGCTTTTTTCTCTGCCTGTGCCTCACGTGGTTGATCTCCAGACACATTTATCCCATTTTCACTAACTTTGCACTCTTCATTTCACTTTTCAGTCTTCATCTTTTGCTTATAGACAAAAATCTCATGTTTGCCCCCTTTTCTTGTTCTGTAACTCATCTTCCCTTACCTGACCTTATTTCACCAGTCTCTATGGTTGGGGGATAAAAAACAGTTTAAAGTGATAAAATCTTGGTTACCTTATCTTGCCCACACCTTATACTACATATTGCTTTAATTAATTAACTTTTTTTTTTTTTTTTGAGACACAATCTCACTCTAGCCCTGGGTAGAGTACCGTGGCATCATCATGGCTTACAGCAACCTTGAACTCGTGGGGTCGAGGGATCCTCTTGTGTTAGTTTTCTATTTTTAGTACAGACCAGGTCTCCCTCCCTCTTGCTCAGGCTGGTCTCAAACTCCTGAGCTTAAGCAATCCACCCATCTCGGCCTCCCAGGGTGCTAGGATTACAGGAGTTAGCCACTGTCCTGGCTATTTTTTTTATATAGAGTCTCACTCTGGCCCTGGGTAGGATGCCATGGTGTCAATCATAACTCACAGCAACCTTAAACTCTTGGGCTCAACTGATCCTCTAGCCGCTGCCTCCCAAGTAGTTGGGACTATAGGCATCAGGCGCAATGCCTGGCTAGTTTTTCTGATTTTAATGTCTCTCTGGCTCTTGCCAAAGTGCTCTCTGTCCTTCTTAGTTGTCTTCCTGACCAGCTTGCCCACACCATATGGTGTGTTTCCTTTATCTGTCTCCAGCTCACCAGTCAGCCATCATCTTTTCCATGTGGTCCCTTCCCCTGTTCCTGCCCTAACTTGTTCTGAGGCCCATAGACATCTCTCTGCTTTTACTTTGCTTCTGTTTTCCTCCATCGCTACAACTCCCAGCCCATCCTCACCTTCTTAGAAGATGGGATTTCAGGTCACTTGTTCCCTGTCTGTAGCCTCACTGGCAGCCTCACTTATTCTGTGTAAAACGTATTCATAAAGTCTTCCGTTTCCTATCTTGCACCTTGGGATCCCTACACTTAACCTGCTTCAAAGCCTATCATTTCTCTTAAGTCCCCTTCTAACCGACCATGGCTCTATCCCACTCCCCTGCCCCTAGCAATTCGCTAGTCCTTGCGCCCCCTCCCCCGACGCTGCCCACTCACCGGTGCCCTCTGGCAGGCTCAGGACGCCTTCGCCCTGCACCCAGCGGTAGCACGGGAAGGCCGCCTCCGTGCCGGCTCCGGGGCCCTGCACAGTGATGCGGTCGCAGAACCACGCGTCGTCCACCAGCCAGTGGTGTTTGCGCAACTTCACGAACTGCAGGGGCCCCAAGTCCTCGGTAACGTCGAGGTTAAATTCCTCCTCCTGTGGAACCAATCCGGCCAGACTCAGTAGCGGTACTTGTGAGAGGCCGTTCTGAGAGCAGAGCTGCCCACTCTATGAAGCCTTCCTTTACCAGGGCCTTGTTCCCTCCCCTGCACAGCCTGTCCCGGAGTCTCAGATGCCGGATGACAGGTGAAGATTGGGACCCAATGTGTGTCCTCAGTGACTTGAATTGGTGGGCATCCCCACCTGTGTAGGTCCCCCTGACTGAGCTCTCACCGCGTGCGTGCTTGGAGGAGCTTCTCTTTTGACCACTGGTCATGTACTTACCTCCGAGTCATTTGGAGAAGCAGTTGGAGGTCATGAAGAAAAGGAACGGGAGAAGTAGGTTGGGTCCAGCCCGGGCCCCCTCCAAAAGTCCCAACCCTCTCTTCACTCTGTGAACTCCTAGTCTGCGCTGTCATCTCGTCCCCAGCCTCCTTCCCCTGGCCCTCCCCTGAGCCTGGCCGTCTTCCCTCCCGCCACGAGCCCAGTGGGGTCGGGCCAAGCCGGGCCGAGCCGGGCAGGGAGTCTCGGCTTCCCCGCTGACCTCGCCCCGCGCCGGGCGCAGCTGCAGCTCCCGATCCGCTTCCCCGCGCGCCCCGACCAGCCACAGCTGCACGCGGTTGTGCGACCCGGAGAAGAGCCAGGCCCCGGTGGCCACGCGGATGCGGTAGCGGCCCATGGCACCCCGCCGGCAGCTGGGGCAAGGGGAGCCGGGTCCTACGCGATTCCCCGGACCTCTCAGGGCCGCGGGCGCCTCGGAGCCAGTTCCGGCCTTTAAAAGATGAGTCTGCGGCCCCGCCCTCCTCCCAACTTTTGGGCGCTCCCACGTCCCCGCCCCAGACTAGCCTGAACCTGCGAGCTGTAGAGCCGGCTGTGGACCCAGCTATGCCTCCAGGTGGGAGCGTAGCTGCGGGAAGATAAGGGACCCAGACAGGGTGAGAGGGAGGGTGTGGCGGGGACTACCTGGACCTCATGGGGAGGCCTGGGAAGAGCAGCCTCCGGGTTGGAGGAGGGAAAGGATAAGGACACTTCCCAAGGCCTTTTAGGGAGCTAGGAGGGAGGGGGTTTGAATTCATCCTCCAAACTGAGGAAAGCCTCTGCGTTTCTGGGCCAGCTTCTGGAAGACTGCTAGACTTCTAGGGTTGCTCCGCTGCCTAGACACGCGTGGCCAGGAAGTCCTTTAGTATATGAACACTATGGCCTTTGAGCCCTGCGCTTCAGTAAGTGACCATGGCTGCCTGGAACCTGGAAAAGTAACAGCTCAAAGCTTGCTTCCCCTCACTCCCACCCCCAACGCTCTTTAAAATGTTCAGAAATTGGGATCCCAAGTATACCAGAAATCATGGCCTGGACATCTGGAGAGAGGCCTGAGGCAGGGCAGAGGAAGCTTCATTTTGTCCAACCAACATAGTAGGTGCACAAAATGTTAGGGATCCACTGGTCAGGCCATACTGGTCTGGGTGTTAGGGTGCAATATGAAACCACTTAGGGACCTAGCATACATAGACAATTCCTATGAACTTTGTGCTTTCCAGGTGAGTGCAGCCCCTTGCCCTACAGTAGGTTCTAGGTTAATTTTTATTCCCAGGATATTTCCTGGTCCTTCACGGGCCTCAGGGTAGGAAATCTGCTCACGTGCTTGGAGGAGCTTCTCGTTTAACCACTGGTCATGCACTTCTCTCCGAGTCATTTGGAGGAGTTGGAGGTCACAAGGAAAAGGAACAGGAGAAGTGGGTTGAGTCCAGCCCAGGGCCCCAAAATTCCAACCCTCTTTTCACTCCATGAGCTCCCAGTCCACAGTCATCTCAACTACCAGTTGAGCTAGTGCTAGTTAGGACTTTGTAAACATAAGGATGATTCAGGTCTTCAGCTTCATCACCCATCCGGGGATCAATCAGATGAAGCCTGTTGCACTTGTTCCTGTCTAGATCTTTTTGATCTAAGACATAAGCATTTGGCTCACAGTGGATGTGTCTGGTAGCCTGGGCTGGGCCAGGGCAAGGTAAATCTGTTTTCTTTTTTTTTTTGAGACAGAGCCTCAAGCTGTCAGCCTGGGTAGAGTGCCATAGCATCACAGCTCACAGCAACCTCCAAGTCCTGGGCTCAAGCGAGTATCCTGCCTTAGCCTTCCAAGTAGCTGGGACTACAGGCGCCTGCCACAATGCCCGGCTATCTTTCGGTTATAGTTGTCATTGTTTGGTAGGCCCCAGTTGGATTCGAACCTGCCAGCTCTGGTGTATGTGGCCGGTGTCTTAGCTGCTTGAGCTATAGACGCCGAGCTGGTAAATCTGTTTTCTTGAGTCGGACCTCAAAAATGCCTTGGAATGCTGTTTGTTGGAAGAGATAAGTGAGAGCGTTCTAGTCCCACCTACCCTGCTCACCCTAACCATCTAGACCAGTAGTTCTTAACCTTTCTGATACAGTTAAAGCCACGATCCTTTAATTCAGTTTCTCATGTTGTGGTGACCCTCAACCATAAAATTATTTTTGTTTCTTCTTCACAACTGTAATTTTGCTAATGTTATGAATCATAATGTAAATATCTGATATGCAGGATGGTCTTAGGTGACCTCTGTGAAAGGGTCATTCGACCCCCCAAAGGGGTTGTGCTCTAGACCAGCAGTTTTCAACCTGTGGGTTCGACCCCTTTGCAATAATGAAAATACATCCTGCATATAAGATATTTACATTACAATTCATAACAGTAGCAAAATTACAGTTATGAAGTAGCAACGAAAATAATTTTATGGTTGGGGGTCACCACAACATGAGGAACTGTATTAAAGGGTTGCGGCATTAGGAGGCATTAGGAAGGTTGAGAACCACTGCTCTAGACCTCCCCAAAGTGTCTGATCCTTACTGGGTGCCATTGCCCTCTTCTACCAGGGGTGGGGAACCTGTAGCCTTGGGGCCACATGTAGCTTTCTGGGTCTTTGAGTGTGGCCTTTCACTGCATCCAAATTTTGCAGAAGAAATCCTTTTAGTAAAAAGACTTGTTCTGTGAGGTTTAGATTCAATTGAGGGGCTGCATTTGGGAATCTGAAGGGTCACATGTGGCCTTGAGGCTTCAGGTTCCCATTCACTCCTGCCTACTTTGTCTGTATTCACAACTTGGTGTCTGCCATTTGCTAGTCTCCAGTCTTTTCACTTTTCTGGAGTCACCCTATTTTGTAATATCCAAAGCAAGAGGCTCAAATGCTCATCCTACATGATAGCAGGACTTGGTCTTTTTCACACACATTTTCATGTGTTACTTTAGTCTAGAAAAGAGTTTGTTTCATATCTACTTCCAAAATCAATCCACACTGCAGCCTGCTTCTTTGCTTGTTTTTGGCTGCTTTTTCTGTGTTCTAGGAGGCCACATACAGAGAGAGGGAGTGAATAATTCAAAAAATAATCCAAACTACTGTACATGCTAAATGAATTAACATGTTTAAACAGTTAGAGCAATGCCTGGGATATAATCCCTCTATGTATTAGCTGTTCTTATTTTATTATTTACAATTGAATGTCAGCATCACTCCTAGAAATTCCTCTACCGTTCCTCACCACATACTATTCTCTACATCCCTCTACAGGCCCAGCTCTCCCTAGAGTTCTTACCCCTCAAGACCCTCCTACTGGAGACTTCATATACAACATGGTGACTGTATTGTCTTAGTCCATTTTATTTTATTCCAAAGGAATACCTGAGGCTGGGTAATTTATAAAGAAAAGAGGTTTATTTAGTGCACATTTCTGTAGACTATATGAGAAGCATAGCACTGACATCTGCACAACTTGTGGTGAGGGCTTTTGTGTTACATCAAAACATGGTGAGGGCTGGGTGAGGTGGCTCATGCCTGTGATTCAAGCACGCTGGGAGGCAGAGGCAGGTGGATTTCTTGAGTTCAGGAGTTTGAGATAAGCCCGAGCAAGAATGAGACCCCTTTTCTACTAAAAATAGAAAAATTAAATACAACTAGCTGGGTGTCTTGGTGCACATCTGTTGTTCCAGCTATTTGGGAGGCTGAGGCAAGAGGATTGCTTAAGCCTAAGAGTTTGAGGTTGGCTGTGAGTTATGATGACACCACAGCACTCTACCCAAGGGTGACAGAGTGACACTCTGTCTAAAAATAATAATAGGGCAGCGCCTCTGGCTCAGTGGGTAGGGTACCAGCCCCATATACAGGGGGTGGCAGATTTGAACCCGCCCCTGGCCAAACTGCAACAAAAAATAGCAGGGCATTGTGGCGGGCACCTGTAGTCCCAGCTACTCAGGCAGCCGAGGCAAGAGAATTGCCTAAACCCAGGAGTTGGAGGTTGTTGTGAGCTGTGATGCCACAGCACTCTACCGAGGTCGATAAAGTGAGACTCTGTCTCTAAAAAATAAATAAATAATAATACCAAAAACTCATGGTAGAAAAGGTCAAAGGGGAAGTGGGCATCTCTGAAGAGAGAGCAAACCTGAGGGATGTCCTGGCTTTACAACCACCCCCTCTCATGGAAATGAATCCATTCCCCCTTAGCACTAATCCAGTCTCAAGATAGACTTACTACTGCAAGAATGGCATTAAGCCATTCATTAGGAATCTCTTCCTGTGACCCAAGTACCTCCCACTAGTCCACCTCCCAACACTATCACACTGGGGATCAAATTTCAACATGTAGTTTGGTGGGAACAAACACATTATATCTAAACCATAGCAGAGACTATAGTTATTATTAATAACACATTGTATATTTGAAATTTGCTCAAGTGTTGTCACCATAATGAAAGTAGCCATGTGAGGTTACGTTAATTAGCTTAATTGTGGCAGTCATTTCACAGTGTATACATATATCAAAACATGACGTTGTCACCCTAAAATATCCGATTTTTATTTGTCAGTCATACCTCAATAAAACTAGATAAAAGAAGTTTAAGCTGGTCATAAACAGTTGTGAAACACAGGGCTCAGTTTCTAGGGCTCTCTGCTAGGCAAGAGCTGCTAAAAGTTCTTTTACCTGGGGGTGGGGAGTGTATGTGTGTGTGAGCACAGAGAGTTTGTGATATGGTAAATGGGTTCAGCAGAGAGATGGAGATAGAATACAGTTGGGGTATATTCTGTCAACAAATGAGGTGGTAAAGGGAACAGAGAGAGGGCCAGAGCTGGAGATAGCAACCAGTAGAGCCAGTGAGAGAGAAAGGCTGAGATGCTGGAAGCTGAAGGTGTAAGTGATGAGGGGAAGACCCTGAGGGAGGAGGTGAAACCTGGACAATGTGTGAAGGAACTGGCCTTTGATCATGCATTCTGCTATCCAACTACGTGCCAGGTCAACCCTGTTTAACTTCCAAGATCAGACAACACTGAGCACATTCAGATAAGTATGGCCATAGACTGATCATGCATTCTCAAAGGGGGCAACCACACCTTAGATTTGATGGTTTGTGGCCTTCCAAAGGGCCAGTGTACATAAATAGATATATGTTTATGTACATGTATTTATGTTTATGTAAAGAGCAGTTGGGAAAGGAATGTCTTAATATTGCCATAAGGGGGCAATAATGGAAAAGAAGTAGAGAAACATGGCCTTAAATGGAGAGACAACGCTTTTGTATTAGGAAGCAAGTGGCAGCAGATAAACTTGAAAGTTATGTGTGGGGAAACATCCCATTTGATGGTTTGTACTTTCTCTGTGAATTAGTTGGCAAGGAGCTGGTTTCTGAGGGTCAAGGGAATAGTAGGGACATTTCAGTGATAGAAA